AATATTTACTGCTTTGTCATTTCCTATGTACAAAATGATCTTAATTAAAATAGAATTCTAATTAAACCAAGATTTTTAAAAAGTAGCCTTTAAGAATATATTTATTTATGGCTTTTAAAAATCTTTATCAGTTGCTACTAATTCTTTCTTAGATTGCCAGTTTATTCTGAGTACTTCAATACTTTGTAAATCTTCCCAGGTCTTGTTTGTGATAGAAGCTTGTATGTTAAACATGCGTGCGCGTGCACACACACACACACACACACAATCTTTTTTGTTGTCTCATTTTATACTTCCATAATAATGAGATATCATGAACCATTTCAATTGTAATAATGAGTCTTCTCAGATATGACAAGACCTTAAATGTATTTTTCCTTCTAATCCAGGGAACTGGATATTTTGTCTATTTTGTGTGTGTGTGTTTTCTAAAACACCAGAAGCCACTTTATCTTCTCGTTAGCTGTAAGAAAGCCACCAAAGAAGCAGCATACAGTATATATCTGGCATTATTATCCTTGGTGTGCCCTACCAATGAAGTTGAAATATACCTAAGCCACAAAGCTATCTCCATGGTTACCCTGCCAGTGCTGGGCCTCTTTGGTTTTAAACTGATTTAGTATAAAACGAAAGGTCTCTGGTGTTGCTAACTAGGTAGTTTTTCAGATTCTAGCTGCAGATTTCCTTCCTTTTTGAGTACTTTAGAATATAACAACTGGACACTCTTTTATATAAAGACTGAGAATTTACTTCTTTCCAATTATTCTAAGATCATCTAACAATGGTTATTGACAAAAAAAAGTACAGAACTATTCCATGAAAAGGCACCTTGCTTCTGGTTGTATCCGGCCTCAATATTACAATATTCTGTGGTACGCAATGGCAAATTCTTGGGTTTCAGAGCAGAATGGAAGTGTTAGAAGTCATCTAGTGCGTTAATGCCACTTTAGAGATGGATAAATAGAAAGGAATCAGGTTTACTTAGCTTTAAATATTTTCACTAGTAACTTTGTTCGTTCATTCATTCATTCATTCATTCACTCACTCATTCATGGAACATGCAGAGCCCCTGCCCTGTGTAGATTCTGAAGCTATAGCATATAAGCATAGCCCTAGCACTTGTGGATTCCCAGTCCATTGGAAGAGGAAGACTGACAAATATTCATCGTATCGAGGGAAACATTATATAATAAAGACACATTCAGAGCACTCTGAGTCCACACTTTTGATTGTAGATGAAAAGTTGACAGAGGAAGCAATAAACATTTCCTCATAAAAAATGAGTATCAGGCAGTTTAGGGAGAGAAGTCATCCTGGGCAAAACAAACAAAAGTCAGGAAAGAGCATAGTCACTTTGGAAAATGCTTAGTGTGTCAGTGAGACCGGCGCATAGGACTTTACAGCGAGGAGTGGTAAGGAAAGGCTGAGTTCTCATGGTGTGGCAGCATTATTGGGGACAGCTCAGACACAGCTAGGTATTCAGTGAGGATAAAAGGTGGAGCTCCGTGAGTTGCTATTGTCCTGAAATTAGTTCCAAGCTGGTTGATAAATAGCCACTGACCTGAAGCCCCTTCCAGTGTCCTTTTGCACTTCTAGACCTCCTCAGACCCAGTGTTTCAGCAATTAAAGTGTTCACACTTTGCAGGAAGCCTTTAGGATCTCCCCAGCACTAAGCCCAGTTGGATGGTGCTGATCATTATTTATTACTATTACTATTATTTGATTATTATCATTTGACTTATTATTATCATTATTATTTTTATTATTTGAGCATTTCTCCTCTTGTATGCCATAGTAAAGAATTTGAACTTTATCCTATAGGGTATGGCTTGGAAATTCAAATGCATCCAGGGGTCGGGCAGGCCACATAGAAATGAGTGAAGCAAGTGGATTGTAAACAACACGGAGAGGTGAAGATTATATTGAGTTGGAAACATTCAAATTAATTAAAAAAAAAAAAACACTGTATCAACAAACATAAATGAGTAGTGATTTTGACAGCACCAGTGCTCAAACTTTGCAGTGTAAGTAATAGGGAACCATAATGACTTTTTTCTTTAAAACTAGGAGACTGATCAAAAATCATTTTTTACAAAAATTGCCATTTTGATAAACTGTCAATTTTTTTAAAAAATGAATTTTTTCATTTTCATTTTGATGAACAGAGATTATAGAAACCAAGGGGATATGAGGCCAAGAATATGGGCTGTACTAATTTGAAGATTTGGACAAGAAGATGCTGGCTCAAATTCAGAGATTTTGGGTTGCATATGAAAACAAAGTTTTCTACCAAACACTGCATGTCCCCACTCAAAAGTGGGAGTTGAACAATGAGAACACATGGACACAGGAAGGGGAACATCACACACCAGGGCCTGTTGGGGTGTGGGGGGCGAGGGGAGGGAGAACATTAGGACAAATATCTAATGCATGCGGAGCTTAAAACCTAGATGACAGGTTGATAGATGCAGTAAATCACCATGGCACATGTATACGTACATAACAAACCTGCATGTCTGCACATGTATCCCAGAACTTAAATAAAAAAATAAAAAATTCAGAAAAACAACAACAACAAAACACAAAGTTTTTTTTTGTGTGTAATAGAATGATGGAAGAATGATTAAGGAAAACATGTCATTTCTGGCTTAAAATGTTTCAGGTACCAAAAAGACGGCTGTGGAAACTAAAGTCACTGAAATCTCAGAGAGAACCTTGTAAATCTGTAATGTGCTGAAGCTTAGTAACTCATGCAAAATACTTGCAGAGAAAACAAAAAACAAAAACCAAAAAACTTTGGGTGGTGAAATGGGATGGAACAAATGGCAAAAGGATCTTTACTGTTGTTACTCTGCAGGGGACTTATGTGATAACATTCTTTAACATCTTTTTAACACTTCTGGATAGGATTTATCCATTAACTTAACAAATTTACTGAGTACCTAATATATGCTAGATGTTGTTTTATGCATGATTTTTAATAGAATTTGTTATTGAGAATTCACTATGTGCTCAGCACACTTTTAGGCACTGGGGATAAAATAGAGAACAAAACAGACAATTCCTGCCATCCAAGGAGCCTCCATTCTAGAGGAGGAGACAGGCGTAACCTTATATAAAATCAGGTTATGGTGAGCAAACAGAATGAATTGAGTCTGGGTAAGAATAGAGTATGTAGCGAACTAGGTATGTAGTATCTGAGGGAACTAGAGTATGGGAAATGTGATAACTGTACAAAACATGATGAAAGAGAATTTTTGGAGACCAAAATCTAACAGAATTTGGAAAGGAAGAAGGGAGTGTTGAAGAGAGAAATTCACAATCACCCATATTGTGAGTCTAGAGTGATGAACGCTTGTAGCAAAGTGATACACTAGGTTTGGATGAGCTGAATTTGAGATTTTAGTGAGACATCCAAGTCTATCAGTGTTTCTCAAACTTCCGTGGGTGTCAGACTTACCTGGAGTACTTGCCAAAAATCTAAAGGTTCAGACTAGGTCCTTTTCCTTCAACCAGCCTCGGCCTTTGTGTTCTTTATTAGCTCACTAGGTGTTTCTGACATACCAGAGTTTGAGAATCACTGGCTTTGACAGTCACAGATATAAGTCTGGAAAGAAAAATTGAGCAAAGGCTGGAGAAGTATATTTTGGAGTTTCAAAAAGGTGTTAATTGAAATGTAGGAATGGCCTACTCTTGCAGCTGGTGAATATAACAGGGAAGGGAAGCCATAGGACAAGATTTGGTTGTATACATGTAGGTGGTGGGAAGACAAGGAGGAGCCTGAAAGAGCAACACATGAATTATTCAGCCTAAGGGGGGAATGTGGAGAGCTCAGTTTCCCTTTAACTGAGATGTGGGCTCTATGGAGACAAAGCCCTCAGGATTACCTTATCCCTGGCGTTATGCCAGCATTTAATAGATAATCAATATTTGTTTATTGAATAAGTCAATGCATCCATGAATGGCTAATAAAAAATTTTTAGAATGTAAGTAGTCATATCACATGCAGTGGCTGAGGTCAAGATACTAAGGGATAGCTAGTAGATTTAGTTAAAAGGAAGTTATTGCTATACAAGGTATTGGGTAATTAAGTTTAAGTAGTGAGTTAGGCCCTGTAGTCATTTGTAACATTCATCTTGAGCTGTTGATGAGCACTGTAATAGCAATAAGATATACACACACATAATATACACACATAAGCGTATGTATACATTATATGAATGTATACATGTAAAAGTATAAATATTTAGCTCTAGAGTCTTCATAGTGTCCTGTGGTTTTGTTGATATCCAGGAGCTGCTTCCTTCAGGTTGTAAATCTTGTGGGATGAAGTGTGTCTTAGGAGTCTCAAAGGTTGTGGAGAGCTATCTGTCTCCAGGAGGTTGGAACATAGACAAAAGCAATGAGATTCCAGGGACATGTCTCCAGTAAGCTAGATAATCCATTTGCCACCCTCGGTTTTTCAGCGATTGCTCCCCAAGAATAGATATGATTTCTAGAGATTGCATAAAAATATAAAATCCTATTTTAAGATTTGTTTAAAGCTTTTTAATTCCAGTCACATACTTCCTTTGAAAGTACAAACTTCAGTGTCATAAAGCAGAGGTACTTATTAGTCAGCTCTCTGGGATCTGCAGGTTTGTAGGTGAAACATCCGACCTTTTTTGTGTTTTGAAATGTCATACCAAACTGGATCTTAATGAAGATTCATTTATCCTTTTCACACTATTAAGGATGGTCTATGGGGATAGACTTCTCTCAGTCCACATGATCAGAACCCATTACTGCTAATGGAAGTTTTCCACATGGCTGTGGAGGTGAATAGGCACTGAAATAATCTACATCTAGGCTTTCACAGTCATTTTTATTTAACTATTTTAAGATTTCCATGATGATCCCTTTTCGTGTCCAAATGCTGTTTGACATTGTCTGTAGGTATCTGGTGATGGGTCTGAGGTTGTAACTTTAACAGGTGTAAGTATTTCTTTCCTCTGTTTCAGCTGGAAGTTTTGAGAGTGAAATATTCACAGCCATTAAGAGACCTCCAAATTAATTTCTCAACATGCTTATTCTATAGTTCACATTCAATCCAGAGCACTGAAGGAACTGAACAAGTGGACACTGTAGACATCAGATAGCTGGCCATGGTGTTGGCCATGGCGTCTCAGGATGTTCAGAACTTCTTCCAGCCTTTCTCTTCCTGGATATCTCGGGTTTATGAAGCTCTCCAGCAAGCAGGAGATATGTTGTCTGCTTCGCTGGTTAACGTAAGCAAACAAGACTCTAAATTGAGTGACAAACTAGATCAGGACTTAGATAATATTCAGATTCAGGAAACATACTTTGAAGATGAAGAACAAGACAATGATTGGAGTCAAGAGGATGCAAATTCCTTGTTTCTTGAAGTGGATCATTTCTCATGTTGTAATAGTGATTTGCAGGACTCTGCCCAAAATTCAAGCCCCAGGCTTAGCCAACATGCAAAGGACTCATGTTCCACAATGTCCCAGTGGCCCAATCGGGCCAGTGATGACCACAAGTCACCACATGTGCTTTCTTCTATTGCGGAGGAAGAGCATCACCTTGAAAAGCAAAGAAGTGGCCTTCAACATGGCTTTGACAGCCAGCTCCCTGGTACTTTAGAAACTGTTAATGGAAAAAAGCAAGGTAAGCTAGCCAGTCATCATTTTCTCTGCGTTCCTCCAAAGAGTATTTCTACTTATTTTATTTTGACTTGTTTTTAGTTATCATGTGGATTTTATTTTTCTCTCTCTTTTACCTTCCCACATACTGGCTTCTGATTGAGAGATATAATCCTTAGGAATATTTTCGATATATAAAACTTTGGAAGATCCAAGTTTGGGAGTTTCATATTTCAAAACAATAGTTCTGAGCAAGTGAAATGGTGAAAACGAGTCTGTGGATTCTGTTTGAGAAGCCCCTTGTGCACATGTCATGCTTTTAAAAATATCTTGTAAAATGTTCTTTTTTTCTTCTAGGTTAGGAATTTCTAGATGTTACTATATTATTCAGTGTGAAATCCTGTGCAAAAAGCCATACTTATTGCAGAATTTTTAGTTGATAACACTCCAAGAACACTTCTCACAGTGTTTCACTGAGACGTGATGTGAGATGACAGTGGATAGGAAATCTTTGAAATAAGAATAGCTTGATTTTCTTTTAGCTCTGAATGGTAAGGACACATTTAATAAAAACTGCCGATAAAGATTTATGCTGTGAGAACTGAGCACATATTGGGCCTTCAATAAATATATATTGAATATGATAAAAAGGTAATTGACTCTCTAAAAGTAGCTGTGGTATGTTCCAGCATGAATTTCTCATGCCTCTAATACTCTAACCTTGAAGTAAGGACATTCCACCTGGTTAAGGGACAGAGGTAAATGATATGCACAGAAGGGATTTGGGTATGTGTGCATGGTGTGTAGTTGTAATGCACATGTAAATCACACAGATTGGTGAGTCATTTATGTGATCTAAAGACAAAGTTATTAATGTCCCTCTTGTCGGAGAGAGCAGACTTTTCTGGAATACCTCATAGTCCCTTCATTCATTTTCCATGATTCCTATTAGCTTTGTCTTTTTAGGGAAAAGTTTTATTCAGATCTATGAAGTCTTGGCATATAAGGAAACACAATTTCATATTCTTCTCATGCTTTCTTGATACTTTTATTCAAATTAAGGTAACACTGAAATGCTAGAATAAATTGGTGAAAATGAGGTAGGTTGATATTCTTTCTGAACCTGAGAAACTATAGATAATTGCAATTTTGAGTCTTTTGAAATTGTCTATAGAGATATTCTAGAAATATCTGGGCCAGCAGTAGAATTTCTTAGATTTGAGTTGAAATTATGGTTCCTATTTTAGAACATTCTTGAAAAGGTTGAACTATATTTGAAATTGATGTGAATTTGGCATACCGCAAATTTTGCTAATTTTTGTAATTGTAAAATCTAATGTCAGTAAAACAATTGTGTTCATTTGGCCCTTCCAGAGATGCTTATTCACTAGATTGGAGCCTCCAGGAAGTCAGGGACCATGCCATAGATTCATTTGTGTTTTCTTAACAATGATCACAGTGTTGGGTGAGAGATTAAATAATAATTAACCATGGAATAGCAGCAAGGAAAGCTAACAACATTAAGAGGTAGATGCTATTATTATTCTCACTTTACAGTTGAGAAAATTGATGACGAGAGAGTTTGATAATCTGTCCAATATCCACATTTATTATAGGAAGAAGCAGAGCTCAGGCAGTCTCATTCTAACATTTACACATACACATATTCTCTCTTTTTTTTCCTTTTTAAAGGTATAATTTACTATAATAAAATTCATCCTTAGTATATAGTTCTATGCTTTTTGACAAATAGACACAGTCTTGTAACCACCACAACCAAAGTATAAAATGGTTTTGTTATGTCAGAAAATTCTCCTACATTTGTTTTTAGTCAATCCTTTCCCTACTCCAGCCCCAGACACGTGTGGTTACATTTTTAGCCTCTCCTGTTTTATCTTTTTCAGAATGTCATATAAATGGAATTACACAGTTTGTCGTCTTTTGAGTCCAGCTTCTTTCACCTGTCATAATGCATTTGAGATTCATCCATGGTGTGTGTTTCAGTAGTTTTCCCTTTTTAATTGCTGAACCGTATTCCATTGAATGAATGCGCTAGTTTGTTGATTTATCAGTTGAGGAACATTTTGGTTGTCTCTAGTTTTATTTATTTCCAATATCAGTGTCTATTATTTCTTTTTCTTGACTGATTACACTGGATAGGGCTTCTATTATCATGTTAAATAAGACTGGTGAGAGTGAATATTCTTGCCTCAATCTTAAACAGTGTTAAATCCTTCAATCTTTCACTCTTATACTCAGTAGTTAGGTGCAGGCTTCTGTAGATGCTCTTTATTATGGTGAAGAAGTTCCCTTGTATTCTAGCTTCCTGAGAGTTTTTATCAAAAAACGATGTTAAATTCTGTCACATGCTGTTTCACATCTATTGAGATGATCATATGATTTTTGTTGTTTAGTATGTTCAAATAAATTACACTGTGTTTTGAAAGTTGAGCCAGTTTTGCATAGCTTGGATAAAATCCACTGGGTCATGTTATGGTATTCCTTTAATGTATTACTGGATTTGATTTTTTAGTCTTTGCTAAAGATTTTTTTCCATTTATTTTTATTAGGGATATTGTTTTATAGTTTTCTTGCCATATCTTTGGTTCTGGGTAATGTTGACTTTATGAAATGAGTTGTGAAGTGTTTTTCCTTTTCTATAGACTGGAAAAACTTGTGTACAATTATTATTTTTTAATGTTTGCTAGAATTTTTCAATGAAGCCTTCTGAGCCTGGCATTTTCTTTGTAGGAAGGTTTTGAAACACAAACTCAATTTATTTAATAGGTATAAGAGGAACCTAGTTATTTGTTTTTTTCTTAAGTGATTTTTTGGCACTTTGAGTTTTTCAAATTTTTTCATTTCATCTATGTTGTTGAAGTTATGGACATAGTAATTAATTACTACCTTTTAAATGTTGTTAGGATTCATAGTAATTTCTCCCTTTATTTCCTGATTTTGGTAATTTTTTTCTTTTTTTGTTGTTGATCTGTCTGGCTAGAGGATTATTTGTCTAGCCACCTACCTATCTTGTTTTTTCCAAGCATCTCAATTTTGGTTTAATTAATTTATCTCTATTGTTTTTCTGTTCTTAATTTCATTAATTTCTGTTATTATTTTCTTGCTTTGGGAATAATTTGTTCTTTCTTATTTTCTATTATGGATGTATAATTTTCCCTCTCAGCAATGCTTTAGCTGTATCTAATAAGTATTAATGTATTTTGTTTTTATTTTAATTCAATTAAAAATAAAATATTTTCTAATTTCCTTTGTTACTCCTCTTTACTGCATTGGTTATGTAAAAGTGTGTTGGTTAAGTTCCAAATATCAGGAATATTGTATATATTTTTCTGTTGTTGATTTCTAGTTTTATTCCATTATGACTTGAGCACATACTTTCTATTATTTTTTTGTTTTTAAAATTTAATTAAGGTTTGTTTTATTACCCTGTCCTGAATTGTCAAATATTTCATGTGCACTTGAAAAGATTGTATATTCTGTTACTGGAGAGAGTATTCTATAAATTACAAGTTTTTTGAGGCTACTTTTCAGATTTTCTAATACTTATTTTGTCTCTCGATTTTTTTCTTTTTTAGCCTACTGATTTTGTTCTGTTGATCAGTAAGGGAGGAGTATTGAAGTCTGTAACTCTGATTGTGGATTTGGCTATTTCTTTTTTTTATTTCTATCAGTTTTTGCTTTGTGTAGTTTGAAGCTCTGTTAAGTATGTACACATATTAGAAATATGTATCTTCTTGGTGAATTGACCTCTTTGTCATTATGTAATGTACCATTTTTACCTCTAGTAATGTTTCTTGTCCTAAACTCTACTTTGATATTAATACAGCTCCTCCAACTTTCTTTTGATTAGTGTTGACATGATATATTCTTTTCCATTCTTTAACTTTAAACCTATTTTATATGGTGGGTTTCTAGTACATAGCATATAATTGGGTCTTACTTTATAATCCAATATGACAAGCTTCCACTTTTAATTGGTGTGTTTTAACTATTTGTATTTAATGTAATTATTGATATTGCTGAAATAAAATCTGTCTTCTTGCTAGATTCATTTCTGTTTGTTCCATCTGTTCTTTGTTTCTTTTATCCTAATTTTTCTGCTTTCTTTGTATTGAGTATTTTTATGATTTCATTATATATCGACTCTGGGCTTGTGTTAAAAAAGGCTTAATGTCCATCCTAGGATCCCTAATGCAAGGATCTTTAGTTAACTTCAGTCTATCTTGAAATAATACTGTGCTGTTTCATGCATAGTTTGATGATGTTGCTACAGTATACTCTCAATTCTTCCTGCTTATCCTTTGTTTTATTGATGTCATATACTTTACTCTTATACATGGAATAAACGTATAATACACTGATACTGCTTTGCCCTAGACTATTGGTTATCTCTTAGAATGGTTAAAATAAGACAAAAAAAGTCTGAGGTGGAACGATTGCTTGAGCCCAGGAGTTTAAGGCTGCAGTGAACTGTGATTGTGCCACTGCACTCCAGTCTAGGTGACAGAGTGAGACCTCATCTCTAAAAATCATTTTTAAAAGCCCCTCCTCAAAACCAAACCAAATTTAAAAAGATAAAAATATTATATTTACCTCATTTAGGCCACATGAACATATGCCGCTAATGAATTATCCTAACTTTTCTTCGAAAAATGCTTGACATCTATATTTAAAAATATTTTAGATATCTTTATTTATTACCTTCATTTATTCAATTTGAAACATTCTTCATTTTAACGTTTCTTATACTGTATATATGCTGCTAATCAATTATGTCAGCTTTTGTTTGAAAAATTTTCTCAATTATTTGAAAAATATTTTAGCTAGGTATAGAATGTTGGTTGACAGTTTCTTTCAGCACTTTAAGATTGCCATTTCAGTATCTTATGGCTTGCTGTAATACTTTCCTTTATTTTTCTGCATGTAATATATGTTTCTTTCACTTGCAGCTTTCAAGATTTTGTCTTTATCTTTGGTTGTCAGTAGAGTGTGTCTAGGAGTGTT